AGCAGTCTTCAACTTGACAATTTGAACCATCCCAAAAGCAATATCCAAGATTTTAACAATTACTTTAAGTAAGTTAACTTGAACATGTTTGATCTCCAACAAAAGAATTTACAACATTTAAGATTGCACTAATGAAAATAATCATCTATTATAATTTTAATATTAACAAATTCTGTCCATTTTTGATTCTATAAATTTGCTAACTAAAATACTATTTTATAATATTAAATAAAAATTAAGTATCAAAGTCATTCAATAAATATCATCTCTGAATTCTTTGAGTTAAACTTGGGATAGTATTAATATCATAATATTAATGATCTTAATGTGTAACTATATACCTATCCTTGAATTTTTAATATTATTATTCTACATATATATAATATTATTGATACTTGTATTAATAAAAGAATTTCTTAAGATATCAAGTATATAGAGTAAAAGTATTACGAAATAATTGAATATTAGAATACTTCCTAAGATTTAATTGAATTATTCATATTTTTAGACTGTTGATGTATAAAGTTCAAAGATTAGATATATGAAATGAGTTCCCCATAGATTACTCAATAATAATTTATATTTTAATTGAAAATAGTTTTTTTCAATTATAGATAATATAAGCTATACACCAACAATTAAAGATGTCAATAATAATTAAAAAATCTAATTATTTATCATCATCATTAAAATCAAAATATAAATAGTATTTAATAAAATGATAAAACGAATTGGTTTTTATTTTCTTAAGTACTTTTGAATTTTAATATGATAAGTAGTAATAAAAGCAATATAGAATAATATCTAAATGCTATATTAATTAAGAGTTATCAATATATAAAGTGAATAATTAAAGTAATTAATGAAATAAACTATTTAATAAGTAATTTATTTTTATAATTTCTAAATTATTTTTTAATGAGATCTATTTTATTTAATTCTAATTAGAATATATATTAATAAACGTAATATTGAAGTAGTAACAATTAAAATAATTATTAAGATAAATTATCTAATAATATTATCTTTTATTTAGGATTGATTCATTTCTTATTAAGTTTATTCATTATTATGTAAATCAAATTATGAAAATATAATCATTTAAAATGGTGAAAATAATTGTACAAAGGTTTCAAAATATTTTGGAGTTAAAATTAAAAAATGTTTTTGATATGCTATTATTTAGAATAGTAATAATATTTCAATATATTAGTATGATTAAATAAAGATAAAGTTGATCATAAAAATTATTGAATATGCTTACAATAATAGATGAAATGATTATAATAAATAATCAAATATAAATTGATATTATATAGTAAAATAATTTAAAATTTAAATCTATTTTTAATAGATTATTTTACTATCATTAAGTAGTACAAGATTTAGATATTAATCAATACATGATTGATAAAGATTTAAATTAATTATGAATTATTAAAAGTCAACTTTTGATTATTTAATTATTGTATAATAAAGATTACCACAATTATGTTATGTATTTAGATAAAATAATTAAAATTATTCTTTTTCTATATTAGATTCATAATTTTAAATAGTGATATGATATTGTCTTTAATTTGAATAATACTTATCTAATTTATTTTATGATATATAAATATTCCAAGAAGGTTTATTAATACATGTATTACCACATACAAAAAAATGTTCTATTTAACAATTCTAATTACAACCATCATTATCTATTAGATTACCATCATCACATTCTTCTTCTAATGTAATATAACCATCTCCACAAATATTTTGACATTAATTTTCAAGATAAATATATCCTTTATCAGGTAAACAATTAGAACATTAATGATTGTTTTCAGCACAAATTATACAATTATATGGATTAATTTTACAAGTCTTACAAATAGAAGAACATTTATCACAAGAATAATCACTTTATAAATAATATCCATCTTAACATAATACACATTCTTTTTAATAACAAATCTAACATATTTCATTTTAACATTTAGATTATGATAATTTACATTAATTACATCCATCACGTTGAATTTATATTCCATTATCACATTCTTCATTCCATTAAATAATTCCATCACCACATTTAGTATAACAATAATGATCTATTTTAGGATTATCAATTAATTAACAATCATAACATTATTATTATCCTATATCATAATATCCATCTTAACATATACATTCAAAATAATCCATTTATATATTTTTTCTTTTCCTATCTTATGTACATTTAGTACATTTATTAAACTCTGAAGAATTTTAACATTCTAAACAAGTGTAATGACAAGATTAACATTGTTCATTATTTAAAAAATATCCTTATTAGCATATACATTGATTTTAGAATGTCAATATTCTAAATTATAATTCATCACAATCAATACAAGTATCATAATCTTTACAATTTTTACAAGTTTTTTTACATTCTAAATTAATAATTAATATTTACATAAACATATATCATTAATATAATCATGATAATATCCATCTTAACAGATACAATTATTTAAATTAAGAACTCTATGTTATGATAAATAACATTCAGTACATATAAATTCTTTGTATTAACATTATTTACATTTTTATAAACATTTCTTACATTACAAATTTCCATTTTATTCATAATATCCCTCTTAACAAATACATTATCCTGATTCTAATCTACGATTCTCAGTAGATCTACATGATTAACAATAATTTATAGACCTAATACAAGTTAAACATTATTCTCTACAAGGAACACATTAATATTCTTAATTAAATATATAACCATTTTAACATAAACAAAATTCTACATTTCTTATTTAATATTAATCATCACAATTAGTTAAAATAGATTATAAATTATAAATAGAATCTTTAGGTTAAATTCTAAGAGGACGAGTTATTTAATAATTAAGTTTGTTATGTTAATAACATTCACCAGAAAAAAGAACATACCCTTCTTCACATTCTAAACATTATTCAAAATAATTGCATTTAATACATTTTTACTGACACTATCTGCATTCAAAATTAATATAATAATAATACTATGGACATTAAATATTTTCTAATATTGTACAACTAGATTCCTCATTACATTCTTCACAATCATGTGTACATTTTGGAGATACTATCAAAAGTTCAGATATTAATATACTACAGTATTATTATTAACATCCTTTACGTATTATTTATAATTTAGACGATCCTTTTTCATTTTAAAATTCAAAGTTTTTATTCTAAAATTCAAATGCATAATCATTTAATTCTTCAGATCCAATTATATTTATCAACGGTTTCATATCAGTAACATTAAAAGTAAGACTATAATTAAATAAATTAACTATAATCTATTCATTTATATTTGCATCTATAATGATTAATTTAAAATATATTTATAATTTTTTCTTCTTTTTAATTTCTATTTGTAAGTTTCTATTAATTAGTTCATATATACTATTTTCATATTTAAAATAAAGTTAATAAATTTCTAAATAGAAATGATTATTAGTTAAAAAGTCAAATTTTTTAATGTATTAAAAATTATGTAAAACAATAAATTTCTCTTAAATTTTATCTAAACAAACATTATTATCATCTACGGTTCCTAATGGACATTATTTTAAACAACTCTATTTATGAATCTTGTATTGACATTTTAAACTTTAAATTTAAGTAACTTTAATATTACCTAAAGCCCAAGCTACATTTTATTATTGTAATGGAAATCCACCTTAAATTTTAAGATTATCTATTTGTGTTACATTATAATAGAGATTATAGAATTTGCAGATTTTACAATTCTAATATGAGGAAGTATGACAATCTTCCTATCCATCTAAGAAATTGTGAGATAAAAAGATATCTTTTTCATATCCATTTATTGAATAATATAATATACTTAAAAGATAATCATCATCATATAATAGATAGATTGTATAATCTATTTTTATATGTATTGGTTCATGAATATTAAGATTAAAATTATAGTATTATATTCCTTCATTTTAGATAAATGGTCCTATTTAAATATTATTATCAATAATAATTTCTTTAGTTGTATTAGTTGTATTGTAATCTAGAATGATATTGTTGACATCTACTGTAGAAATAGTTAATAGATTATTCTTATTTACAAATTGAAAGTATCCTATATATTAATTCCCCAAATAATTTAATGTATAAGTCAACTCAGTAATATGATAATTGATATCATAAATTCTTCTGCAAGATTCTTTTGTAAGTTTATATTAGTCTTCACATTTTAAACATTCATTTGTTTATAATTTACAAAGAGCACAATTTTAAGTACATTTCAATAAATAAATTTAAAGGTTTCTAATCTAAAAGTTAATACCTAATTAAATCACTATTTCGATAAAGTTTTATTATTATGCAATTAGATCCATATTACATATGTATGTTTAATTATCTAAAGAAAGACTAGTACAATGAAATTAAGAAAAGTTTTTTTGATTAAATAATTATTGTATTTCTTATTCATGCTTAAGAGGTATATCCAGTATTAATTTTATATCAATCACTATTCTTGATTATATATATCCAATATTGTTTGTTGAAATATTGTATATTGTTTAATATTGAATTGAATAATGATTATCATTCAAGGGTGTATATATTTATTGATTTTGAATGATAGGTTTTAAATCATCATCTAATAATATCCAAACTGGTGATGCCTATATTTATTAGATCTAATAAGTTAGAATACTAATTCCATAGAAAATTATATTCATTTTAATATTTACTACACATTAAAAATAAGTTAATTGAAGTTTGGTAAAATTATAGCCAATTAAATATATTAAACAACAACTAAATAATGATAAAGAAAAACCATTACAATTACTATAATATATAAATAATAATTAATTTTTTCTAAGTTTTTGAAAACATAATTTAAAATTTTAAATCTATAATCTCTATCTTTTATATCTCTTAAAATGAATGATGAATAATAAAAATTAATTTTCATAATTCACATAACGTTAATTGTTTCATTTAACTAAATTTTCAGGTACATTAATTTAAAGTCGAATTTTATTAAGATTAAATCGTTTTTTTGTAGTAGAATTAGTAATTTGTGATCCAGCCTAAGATTATTAAGATGGTAATCTTGGTGACCAAAATTATGAATGTTAATTAACTTTCTCAGGAGATTTCATCTATGAAAGTAAAATACTTCTACCAATTTCTTAATGTGGTAATTGAATAGCAGATACTCCTCTCTTTCTATCATCAGTTTAATTCTTAGGTCTTGTAATACTTATAGTCATTCTTGTCTATCTATCTTGACTAAAATCATATATCAAAATAATATTATACATAGGAGATTAAATATCATTATCAACATTATTATATATTTATTATACATTTCCAATAGAAACTTATCTTTATTTTTAAAATGGTCTTCTCCATTCAGATTATCTAACTTATTCTATGAATCCATTTATAGTTTATTTTTAATTTAATGAAGATTATTATGAATTTGTTGGATTATTATCTGTTGGAACAGTCTCTCTTTAATATTTATCTAATTAAACTCTACATTTTTAACATCCTTTCAAATAACCTAATCTATATTATTCTTAGGCTTTCTTTTAATTTTTCTCTACTTAAACACCTTTTTCATAAACTTTCCCTCTCATATAATATGTAATTGTCCAATCCTTATTATTTTCCTCTATTTAATCAAGCAAAGAAAAGAAATCTTCTACAACAGCTTCATTCTTTCTTAATGCTTAAAATCTAATACTAAGTAATTTCTAAGCACATTTAAGATCACCCTTCATACATCCCTACTCAAATATTAAATCAGCCATAACTTAATTCTATTCTAATTCATCTTGTAATCCCTAATAAAGTAATAAACCTAAATCATAAAAAGCAGGTAAATAATCTAGATTTTTAGCTTAATTCAATAGAGGCTATATCAATTAACTTCTATTCTAAAAGTTATTAATATATAAGTTACTTTATAAAGTGGTTATTTACACATTGTTTAATAAAGAAGAGCCAATTTATGCATTGCTTAAGTAGAATTTTTATTTTTAGCTTATTTATAATAAAATTCAGCATTTGAATAATCTTTCTCTAATGTATCTAATATATTATTATTGAAATTCTACAATCTTATAATTGAAGTCCATTACTATATATATCTCCCAAATATATCATAGATTATAAATGATCTAATTCTGCAGCTCTTTTTAAAAGAGTTAATGCAAAATTACAATCATAATTTCGATTATATACTTCACTTGAATATTTACTTACTATTGTATTATTATCATCCTTATCATAAAATTTATCATAAACTTTTCCTTCCTTTTATTTAATTAATTTAATAAATACCAAAACCAATTTAGAAGTATTATATAAACTGAATGTATTTCGTTAATCGGCACTCTTTTTAAAGTAATTAAAAGCCTATATATATGATTAATTTAAATTTTAACTTAATCATAATCTTTTGGACCTGTAATCCCTTCTAAACAAATTTATCCCATTATTGCTTAGGCTATAGCATTATTTTCTTATGCCAATTTAGTATACAATTATAAGGCTGCTATCTAATCTTTTTCTCTTCCAAGTCCTGCAAATAATTCATGAGCATTTCTTAATCTATCATCTACTGGTGTTTAGATTTTAGTCGCTTAAATTGGTTTTGATTATTATATTTATTATAACCTCTATGATGTCTATTTAAAATCTAATTTCTAAAGTAAAGTATCCAACCATTAATCTAAATACTAAGATATTTCAGAAGATATATTTTCTTTATTTAAATTTATAGATCTATTTTCTAAACTATGTAATTATTCCCAAAAAAAACTCAGTTAATCCAATTATCTCATATATTTATCATATAATTTGAATGAAGCATCTTTACCACATAATTGTACTTTATCAACTTATTAACAAGCTTCAAAAGCCTCTGATATTGTACGTATTGTGTCTCTTACCAAATAATGTAATTCTTAATTGATTTTGATGCTAACTTTATACTGTTGAGTGCTGTAATTCTTCAGTATATGAGACATTTTTGTGAAAACTAAATGTGAAAATGTCTTTCTAGGTTGATCAATATTCGAACTCATTTATACCTATGACATCATATCAGCTAAAATTTATATTAATCTATATACATATCTATTAATGAGCTATTCCATATTTAAAGCCATCATAGAACTATTAATCACTTTCAATTGGCTATTATGGCAACAAGAAATTCATACTTAATTTGGATTCTAGATCAACAATTGAATTTGCTCTATTATCTTTTACACTAGTTTATCTTTATGTAGAAGTAGTCTTTCATCTCCAATATCTGTAGATAAACGAGAAGAATAAGTATATTGTTATTAATTCATATTTTAAACTTTTTTTTATAATAGTCCAAAAGTTTTGGTTATTTCTTTTTTTGATCTTTTACTAGAGTCTACCAAACATCATCTAGTTTTTCTTCCAATTGATATTTACCAATTTTTGACAAGGAACTATTTGCATCCTTTACATATTATTTTTGTAAATCTCTAATTTTAGTGAATTTATGTTCAGAATAGGCTTTATTATTAATAACATGTGAAAATGTTTCATTAACATTATTTAAAATACGTTAAATTTCTTATTGTTAATTTAATCCTCTTCTAGGCAATTTCTTTTATTTTTATGGAGCATCCACTTCTCTTATGATGTCAAATTTTACATCTGGATAATACATTTTCTAAACATTTTTTACTTTTAACATTCTATCCTATGATGAATGAACAGATAGATCCTATTTTCTTCTATCTTTTCTTTAACTTTCTCCCTCTGATTAATGTGTTAAATTTGTAGTCTATTTTCTAGTAAGTACTCTACTTGAAACTGAATTTGCAATAATATCTTCAATAAAACCAAATTATTATCTTCTTTTTGGTGATGCTAAAGTCTAAGAATTTAATGGATATCTAAGCATTTTTGATAAGCCTATACCACTCTTTAACTGTTATTATGTAGTTTGAGATTAAGATTAAGTTTCCTTTGGTATTGGAGGAAGTCTTGTTGTGACTTTATCAAATCTCAAACTTAACATTTCTTTCTTAGATGAACTAGATAAAGATTGGTAAGACCTTACAGATTAATCAAGTACACTATTTAAATGTTTTTTCTTGAATCTAATTAATGAAAGATTTAAATACTTTTGCATTTCATAATGCATTTATTAACTATTATCCAAATGGTATATGTTATTTTCAATGAAATCGAATTTAATACGATCAGTTTTAAGAACATCTATTTCTTCTAGAAATTCATCAGATGAGAAATCAAAGATCTATTTTTTTGGGAATTACCATCCATATTTTTATTATAAATTATCTTTCATAGCTTATATTCCATTTAATAATTCATCTATTTCTTGAATTGTAATTTCTTGTCTTTTAGAAGTTCTCTATTCTTTAATAAACAACCCTATTTATTTCTATTTTTTTATTCCTTAAACTTAAAGTCTTCTAAGTTCTTTTAATTGAGATTCTCTATTTCTAATTTAATAAATAAGTTGCTGTCTTCTTTCAACATTCTAAGTTTATAATAGATTAGCTTCTTTGGTAATCTCAAGTAAATGCTCTTTAATTTCATACCAATTTCTTAATCGATCTAACTGTTATTCAAATTAAAATTTCTTGAAAGTGAATCAGTTTCATACCTTAATTTTACTTTTAGATTTTTCAATTTCTTAAAGACGGGAATTATATTTGTCTAATAAGTCTTGAGAAGGAGATTTAGGTTCTTATTCATCAAAGTTCCAACTCTCCTCCATTGAGGAGTACATTTTATTATATTTTATTATACAAAATTAATTAAATTACGTTTACATTGCGAACAATTTATAATTAAGATATATATATATTTAAAATGGAATTCTCATTAATAAAGACATGTAGCATCACAGGATTGTTTTTATATTTTCTGATAGGTAAATTATGTTTAATGTGTGTTTGGCCAACTAAAATTGAAGAAAGTAATTATAATTGAATTAATAATAGAACAATTTTTCTTTGTTATATCATTATATGTAGTACATTTGATCACATACATAGTTGTAAATGCATTTTACTTTATTTGTTATGAAAGTAAGAGTAAATACATAAGTTAAGCAAAAATTGAATAAGTATAAATAAATAATAAATTAGAAACCATGGCCATGGGATGGAAAGGATTCTAAAGTATGGAACTAGATGAAGCGTCTATTTTGGAAGAATGTTTTTATTAATCAATTTATAATGATCGGAGTAGCATATGGATCTAGTTGTATAAAATTAGATACTCGTTTTGATTAAAGTTTTCCAACTGTATTTGAAATAAGTTGGCAAATATTAGTATTTGGTGTGATAGAAGATGTATTATTTTATTTCAGTCATCGATTATTGCATACTCCATATTTCTATGGAAAAGTGCATAAAGTACATCATATATATAATATAACAGGTAAATTTATATTAAATTCTATGAAAAGTATCATGGTCAGCAGAATTTGCACATCCTTTAGAATATATATTAGGAAATCTAATTCCAGTAATTGCAGGTCCAATATTGTTAGGATCTTAGACTCATATGATTACAATTCTTGTATTTGTTGGATTGGCTACTCACAAAACGCTTTCGGATCATTCAGGCTTCAATTTTGTATGGGATGTGTACTAATATTTACCTTTAACAACTCATTCTGAATTTCATTCAAAACATCATAGTTTGAATACTGGAAATTACTCATCTACATTTACTTATTTAGATGATCTTTTAGGAACAACCATTAAGAAATGAATGTACAATTCAATTTAATCAATATTTATTCAATAATTTCATTTTATTATTAAAAAGTTATCTTATTTATTCTTAATAAGAGATTTTAATCATTATAGATAAATTTTGTATTATTATACATTTATGTATATCATACAATCCTTCATTATTATAAATAAATAAAATTAGTGATCCGTTTTCATTATTTTTATTATTAATGTACAAACTCATTGCTTTGGCATTGATTGTTTCATCTGTATTTGCTGTTCAAAAAGACACCAAAACAATTTTGGCAGAAATAGACGCTGACAACTTTGGTAACACTATTCTCTCAACTGTCCAAATGTATTTACAATCAAAAGGAAATGCTGAAGAAATCTTAATTTTACTTAATCAAGTCTTGGCTGGATTGGTTGACGATTAAAACAAACATGACAATGTTATTAGAGTTGATAGAGCAGCTTGCACACGTATTGTTACAGATTTAGAAAACTCTATTGCTTATCATACAGCTTAAGTATCTGCCAATGCTTAAATGAGAGAAGATAATGAAAAGGCTTTAGCTGAAGCTGAAACTGATGTTAGATAAACTATATAAGTAATAATAATATAATATAATTAAAAGGATATTGAAAGCAATGAAAGAACATATGCTTAAGAGGAAGCCAATAGAAATAAAGCTCATGAAACTTGGGTTAGAAAGAATGGTGAACATGATGATGCTATTGCAGCTGTTGATGAAGCTACAAAATTAGTCTAACATCTTTCTTTAGGTGCAACATTTGCTGAACTTAAACCAAAATTTGAAGCTGTATAAAAGAGATTAATTGAAAATGAAAGTCATGGTGCTCTCTTTTAACCTATTGTTACTGCCTTAACTGAATTAGCTACTAAGGTTGATTAAAAGGCAATCCAAAGAATTCTTTAATTACTTTCATAACTTAGATAACAATTAGTAGAAGCTAGATCTGTTTTGGAAGTAATGAAATATTATAATTTTAGGATACTGAAAATAGATAAGCTTAAAGATGGGTTGAATTTTCAACACATTTGAGTAATGAACACAATAGATTGGTTGATAGAAAGAATCAATTAGAATAAGCAATTTAAACATTTAAGACTAATATTGATACTGCTACTCATTTCTATGAAGTTCATCAAGTAATATAATATATATATTTCTAGTTGGAATTAGAATAAGCTCAAGAAACCTTAGATGCTGAACATGAATGGTGTGATCTTTAAGAAAACACTTATAGTGTTTAATCAACTGAGAGAACAAGATAATAAGAAATCGTCGAAAGAATATTGGAGCATTTGACTGAAAAATTAACCGCAACATCCCAATACCTTGGTGGTAGATTCTGAGATTAAACATAAATATTAAATATTATTATGGGACAACAATAAACTTAAGAACAAAGACCATTAAATGATTTAATTAAGGATGTGGCTACATTTAATCTATTGGCTAAGTATTCTAATGTTGTAATACAAGATCTCCAACAATTAAATAAAGCTTGGGTAAATAATTAATAGCAGAAGTGACAAAAAGAAAATAAGATTTATTTGATTCTCTTCCATTTGTTAAAAAGTAAGATGATTTATGTATTGGAATATTTGTGGACAAGGAATATTTATAAATAACTTAGCAAAAATTTTACTATTGTAAACAATTATTAGAGGATTTTTCATCTATATTAATGGTTGATCCATAGAAAGAGGATGGAACTTGTTAAATATGTTTTGAAAAAAAGATTGACAAATTATTGCCTTGTGGACATAGTTATTGTTAAGATTGTATAGAAGGATGGTTTACAGTCAAAGAATAAGATTCCTGTCCAATGTGTAGAGCCCAATTAACTAAATAAAAAATGAAAAGTGAATCTTATGTTGTACCAAATGAAGCTGAATTGATAGATTCATTTAAAGAATAACTTTTTCTGTAATTCAGCTCACAGAAATGAATCAATTATTAATTTTGTTTAATTATTGTTATGGATTTCGAGCATTCAGACTAATTTACTTAGAGAGTAGAACTAATAATTAGAAATGTAACATATGTAATTCTGAATACATTTAGTTCTTACATATACCACAGGAAGCCAATCATAATTGGAAAGAGATTAATTAAAAAATAGATTACTTACAAAATTAGTTGGTGGAAGTACAATTGTATCAAATAAGCCATTATCAAAAGGAGCATTCTATAATATTTAAAATAGAGTTTTGATGCAATTCGAGAATAATTGTAATGTGATTTAGAACAAATTTACATTTAGACTCAATCAAAAAATTAACAATAATAATTACCTCTTCTAAACACTAATGAGGTTATGATAAATGAAAAAATAAATTAAATAGGATTAAATATAAATGAAATTGAGAAAAGTTTAGTGAATAAAATTGATTTAATTAGTAACAAACTAGAGAAAATTAGTATAAATAGA